TTTTTATACATACAGTAATGAGGTAGGATTTCAATTTTAGACACCCTCATTCCTTAGTCAACGCTCAAAAGTGCAAGTCATTATGGAGCCAAGATTTGGATGCTTGGACTGAAATATGAAAATATGCCATCGAGAAAACAGATGATCTGCACAAGAAAGCATACTACAGAAATAGGGCTTCCCAATAATTTTAGCAAAGTTTGGTTCCAACGTTTGAGAAAAGCCAATCTAGAAGCAAAAACTATTTTTTTCCATAAAAAGAAACGGAGACCCAACGTAGAAATCACCAATTTTCATACATAAACTGTGCAATGAAAATACGATCAAGAATTGGTCAAGGTCAAACTACTCAAAATACAGTAATTTAACACAAATTAAGACACACTTTAATAAAATAATGTATATTCACTGAAAAATGACCACAAGGACAGATTCCAAAATGCTGACAGTGGTTATATCTGGGTCGAAGGACTCCGGGTGATTTTTTCTTTATCTGTACACTTTAAATTTTCTATCATGACTAAATACACACTCTTCCTGAAAAAGAGTAGGTGGGTGAATTTTTTTTTTTTTAACACTAGTGGTTTCCATGCTGGAAACATAACCCTAAACATAACAGAAAACCCTAAACAACATTAATAGTCTAAAAATACCTCGGAATGGCTCCTCTGCTTTGAACACTCCACGTGAATCTAAAACATATTCATTCTTTCACACACTCTGACCCTCCCACCCTCCCACCTAAGCAGAAGCTACAATGAAGCCTCTCTCGAGTACCCAGAATAGCCTTTGAAAGAAACAAACTATCAGAAATAAACATTAGCATGGGCGTTGGGGGGGGGGGGGTCGGGAGACAGGTAGCGAGTTCTGTTCTTGACAGACCCGGACAGCGGGTCTTGGGACAATACAGAGCCGCCAGGCAAACATTTTCACACGGTGGCCAGCCCCTCAGTACCAAGGTTAAATGTACCCGGACACCCCCGAGTTCCCAGACGGGCGGCGCCACACCCAAACTGTGCCGCCAGATCTTAGGGGTCCTAGTGAGTCCAGAAACTCTCCCTGAAAACAAGCTCGATTCTCAAGAGGAACCTAGCCGCCTTTGGGAAGGTCCCTATTTGAGGAGACTGCTGGAATGTGCAAGCCTCTTGCTCCCTGTCCCCAAGTGAGTCTCTCTTTAAACAAAACCTGCAAACTAGACTCAAATGTTACAGGGTCATTAAGGATCACCTAAGTATTACAGTGACCCAAGGGTGTGATTAGAGAGACCCAGCAGTGTCCTGGCCACCGAGATGCTGAGTCTAGCCCAGGCAGGGGAGTCAGCTGGTGACTTTGGGCGCGTCACTTCGCCTGAGCCTGTTTGCTGGCGTGTGAAATGGGGCAATACGCCCAGGCGGCAGGGACGCTGTGCGGACCGAGAGGCAGCCCTGGGAGCGCGCATCCACCCTGGACAGGGATGCTCCGCGCCGGGCCCGGGCCGGCCCTGTCACTGCGTGGGCCTCAGCATCTGGCTCCGACAGGGCAGGGCCGGGACGCCCGCCCGCCAGGGCTCCCCACCCCCCCCCCCCCCCAGCTCCGACCCCTACCCCCAGGCTGCGCACGGCTCCACGGGTCTGCCCCTGACACATCCCTCCCGAGGCCGGCCTGGCGCGGCCACAAATCGAAACCGAAAAGCTCATGTGACATTGGAGGCCGGGATGCGGCCTCCGCCCGCGCTCAGCCCGGGAGACGCTGTCTCCACCCAACTCGGCCATCTTGAGGCCCGAGCAGACAAAGCGATCCCATTGTTTTGGGTGACGGCTAGACAGGGAGCACCCTCGTCGTTCCCCGCGACCCGGAAGGGGGCACCCCCGCCACTCCCGCCTGGCAGGGGGTGTGGCGCCGGCCTCGCCGGGCGGCCTCTGGGCCCCATCCCGCGGGGCGTCTGCAGCCCCGAGGCCGCTCCCGCCCCGGCCGCGACCCTCCCCCCGGACCCCGACCCTGCCCCCCCCCCCCCCGGGCCCCAACGCCCGGCCCCGCACCTTTGAGCGTGGAGCGCTCCACCAGGACCGTGTGGACCTGCGGGTCGGACAGGAACTTGCGCATCTGCTCCAGGGCGCTCTTCTCCTCCAGCGCCGCCTCGAGCGCGGCCGGCGCCTCGCCGCCATCCTCCAGCAGCAGAGGCACCAGCTTGCGCAGGTGCTTCTGCAGCACCGACACGTCGGCCACGTTCTGCACGGCCGACACCTCCAGGCCGGCCGAGCCGTCCTCGCCGCCGCCGCCGCCGCCCGGCTCTGACATGGCGCCGCGCTCGGGACCCGCAGGGAGCGCTGGGCAGGCGGCCGCAGCCCCACACGACAGCGAGCGCCGAGCCGGCGAGCGAGAGAAACGGGCACCGGAACCCGACCGTCCGCTAGCCGCGGCCGACTGAGGGGAGCGGACGCCGGCTCCGCCCTAAAGGCCGCCGCCCGCCGGTCCGCCCCGCCCGCGACCCGCCGCCTCAGCCACTAGCGCCCGCCTGCCGCCCTGGCGTCACGACGTTGCGCATGCGCGCGGGCGGGCCCCGGCGACGCCGCCGCGCAGCCTTCTGGGATCTGTAGTCCCCATGCTGGGCGCGTCCCGCGTTTCCCGCATCGCAGACCCTGAAGATGGGAACTTGGCTTGGCTCGTGGGCGGTATGGAGTGGTCAGGGACTATATCTCTCTTGTTCGGTGCTGTGGCCAAACAGCACAGAGCCTGAGACACTCCATAAATATTGAGTAAATGGTGTTAATGACGAGAGCTAACTTTTTTTTTCTTGAGCAGTTAGCCTGTGATCGACATTGCTCTAAGCATTTAACCTATGTCCTCGCGTTGAACGGATGAATGACTACAATGTGTTAAGTGCTAAAATACTGTCATGACATATGTGTTGTTAGATCTGCACGGAGAGAGGGAGAACGTTTTCAGAGGGGCACGAGACGAGGGGCGTGCCACATTGCTAGGCTGGAAAGGGGCGGTTGGGAAGGGGATATTCCCCGCAGAGGAACTAGCCTCTACAAAGACAGAGGAGCCTGAATGAAGGTTGCGGCTGGAGCCCTGGCTGCAGAGGCAATGTAAGGTAAAGCCAGGAGATGACATCCGAACGATGGGATAAAGCCAAGCTGGTATGGGTTCTGGCTGCTAATAACAAAATAATTCCCCCCAGGATGCTGTGATGACCTATGTGACAGCATCTATGTAGAACAGAGCTACTCTGCTAGCAGCGGGGCGGCACTGTCATTCCATGGGCCTCAGCATCTGGGTCCTCATAAGGCAGGGGCTGAGATGCCTGCCGGCTAAAGCTCCCCCCCAACTCGCATCCACCTGGATCTCCTCCCTTACACGGAGATGACAAGGGCCAGAGTCCAGGCTGCCCACTCTCTTGGTTTAGAGATGACAGTTTCTTTTAAGGAGCATTAATTGGCCTTTGAAAGTTCAAACTCATAACTTGCTTCTTAAATTGGGTGGAGGAAGGGAAGCCAAAGGTGTTATTTTTATATCCGAGTGCACAGTCACAGAGCTGAATCCTGATTGGTAGGATGATGATAGGATGATTTGATTCCCCCAAATCATCTTTGGAAAACTGGGAAACATACAATATGCTTATCCTTGCTCAATTACCCAATGCCAAGCCCCAGAGGCTGCTGGAACATGGAAACTAATCAGATGATTCTTGTCTCTGAGGAGCTCATGGAAGAGGGGACAGAGCAGTACCCCATCCTCCTGCCCTCCATCAGTCTACCCTTGTGTGATATGCCCACACAGATATAGATAACTTTCCAAGAAAAATACAAAACAACTAACTGCAACGAGTTTGTTCTGTGATCATAATGGTAACAAATAATAATAATGTCACCAACAGCTAACACTGAATGCTCGCTCAATGCTAAGCACTCTGCTGAGCACCTGCACCCCCACCCCTATGTCCTTTGGGGTAGGAACAGGAATGAAGAGGGAAATCTGTTAGGTGCAGGTTAGCAAACTCTGAATTGACCACACACCACCTGAGACCCAGAAATCCAGCAGCGACCTGGCAGACGGAGCGAGGCTGCTTGCAGCGTGCATGGTGAGTCAGCACCATTCAAAAGACCCCAGGAGACGCAGCCACTTGGGCATCCGAGACACTCAAACATCTGCAACCTGGCCCCGAGCCAGGGCAACGGAGCAGCGGGCTTCGGATTTGCAGTTAGGTTCAAAATTAAAAGTGTTTGTTATTTCCAAGAGGATGGAAATTGAAAGACTCTGAACAAAGATTCATACATTGACCCAAAGTGCTGGCATTTCTGTTTTATAAAGATGTTTGCAGTGTTTAATATGTAATAAGAATGGTCAATGTTGATTGAGTGCTTACTGTACCCAGGGGGCTAAGCACTCTAAATTCCTTAACCCCTGGGCCGCCCCCAGGGCTGCAAGGGGAGGAGATTTCTTGTAACCATGCCCTTTTGGCCTGCTGGCACCGGACTCTGCCCCACCCCCACCGCCCCCACCAAATTCCAAGCTGCCCTTGGATTGGCGGCGGGGGTCCTCCCCCCAAGCCTGGCTTCTCCCACCGCTTGCTCCCTTAGGCGGCTCAGTTTCCCCCTGTCCTACTGCAGCAGAAGCTGCTTTCAATTGGCAGTGGGCACAGAAGGGCGGGGGAGCTGTTGGAAAGAGAATTCGTTCCAAGTTGATGGGGGATGACTGTGGCTGCTAGGCGACTTGTATTTTATCAGAAATCGGGGATGAACTGTCTACACGGAGGAGATCGCGTCCATTCCCCATCCCTCTCTTTAAAGTACTGCGCTGGGTGGCTCCTCGAGTCCCAGCTGGGGGCTCAGTACCATCCCTACCCTGCCTCTCTCCTCTCTCCTTCTCCCGACCCTGGGGTGGCACCGAGCCCCTCAGCGGAAGCCCCGCTGGCTCAGTACCTGCAGGCCCTGCGCCTGGGATCGCCCCTCCTCTCCCTAAATACCATATAGGGCTTGCCCATTCATTCATTCGTTCGTTCGTTCCATGTGCTCGGAATGCAGCAGGGCCCGGCCCAACGTGGGTGCTTGGTTAATGGCTGTGGGACCAACGCATACCCCCGGGAACCGGGTGCTGGCGATGGCAGCAGCCGCCGGTCCACAGGGCACATTTTGGATTTTGACCTTCCAGCTGCTTTAACCCAGGCGGGCCCCGCCGTTCCGCGGCCAGCGCAGACTGCACCGCCCTTCGCTCACCGGGGAGGGGGAGGCTACAGGGCGCTTTTGGATGAGCTGGCCCCAGCACCCGCCCCCTTTCCGCCCGGGTTCGGTCCAGGGGGCCTCAAGGTGAGGCCGGGAGCCGGCTGAGTTGCGGTCCCGGGGCGTGGTGGGGGGGGGGGGGGGGGCGGGTAGGCAGCGCCCAGACCCAGCAAACGGTCTCTTGGTGCCCCCTAGTGGCGCGGAGGCGTAGACACGCGCGCGCGCAAGGAGGCCCTTCCCCAGTCCCCGCGCCCGGGTCCTGGGGGCGCCACCGGGTTCACATTCCCAAGGTCACCCGGGTCACTTGCCCTTTGCTACAGAATGAGTAATGGCAGTGACCAGAGGCGAATCCAGCCTGTGGCCTGGCCTGCATCCCGCCGCCCACTGGGAAGGTTAGAGAACTTTGTGTCTAAGGGCAGATTAGGGGTCACTCCTGCCTAGAGGTCGTCTGAGACCCCTGATGCTCCCCTGGGTGCTCTTCTCCAGAGGTACCCCACCCCTTTCCTCACCTAAGACCTGTGTCCCCAGACCAAGGCCATGGCTCCCTGCGCGCCCTGGACCCCATCCCTTCTCAAGGATATCACTTCTGAATTCTCTGGCTCCCAAACGCTCGCCCTCTCCCGCCTTGATCCTTCCCAGTGGTGCCCAACCTCCTCGAATGCATCCCTGCCTTAAAAAGAAAGACAATCCTGCCACGTTGCCTGCCTGCACCTCTCCATCTTTTGGCTCCAGCAAAATGCCTTGAAAATAAGCGTGGGTGGGGCTGCGGCTCACCCTGCCTTGACATAATGATCAAGAGCTCCCCGACATCCCTGGGCAAGTGCTGCTGTCCAGGTCACCAAAGGCCTCCGCGTGGCCAAATCCAGTGATCAGTCCTCGGTTCTCATCTTGCTGGACTGCTGGGCAGCTTTGATACAGCAGGGCCCTCTCCCCTCTAAATGTTTCCTTTACCTGGCCCTCCTCCAACACTAGGCTCCTTCTCAGTCTCCTTTGCTGGACCCCTCTCCTCTTCCGCATCCCTAAAGGTTGGAGTGGCCCGATGCTGTCTTCAGACTGCTTTTGTGTCCTAACAAAGCTCCCCAAGTGACCTCCCCTAACCCCATAACATTCAACACATCTATACACTGATAACTCCTAACCTTAGAAGCTCCATTTTGCTCCTGTTGGCGTGTTCTAGGAAATATCAATTAGGCCAGGTTGGTTGAAAGTGTTGTTTGGGTCTTCTACATCTTTACTGATTTTTTCTTTTTTAAATTTTTATTAAAAAAATTTTTTTGCATTTATTTATTTTTGAGAAACAGAGGGAGACAAAGCATGAGTCAGGGAGGGGCAGAGAGAGAAGGAGACACAGAATCTGAAGCAGGCTCCAGGCTCTGAGCAAGTAAGTGGTCAGCACAGAGCCTGATGTGGGGCTCGAGCCCACAAACTGACATCATGACCTGAGCTGAAGTCGGACGTTCAACCGACTGAGCCACCCAGGTGCCCCTCTTTTTAACATTTTTAAATGATTATTTATTTTTGATAGAGAGAGGGAGAGAGCGAGTGGGGAAAGGTAGAGAGAGGGGGAGACACAGAATCCGAAGCAGGATCCAGCTCCGAGCTGTCAGCACAGAGCCCGACGTGGGGCTTGAACCCATGAACCATGAGATCACGACCTGAGCCAAAGTCGGACGCTCAACCAACCGAGCCACCCAGGTGTTCCCTTACTGATTTTCTACGTAGTTGTTCTACCCATTCCTAAGAGAGGTGCTGAAATGTCGGATTACAATTGTGCTTTTGTCTTTCTTCTTGCCGCTCAATCTGTTTTTTGCTTCATGAATTTGAAGCTCTGTTATTACATGCATGAACATCTAGCATTGTTGGGTCCTTTTCATGAACTGACCCCTTTATCATTTTGAAATGTCCCTCTAATCCTAGAAGTGCTACCTACCCTGTAATTTACTTTGACTTTAGCATAGCCACTTTGGCTTTCCTTTGGTCAGTGTTGACATCACCTGTTTTTTCCCATCCCTTACTTTTAACCTATTGGAGCCTTTGCATTTAAAGTGGGTTTCTTGGGGCACCTCGGTGGCTCAATCCATCGAACGTCTGATTTGGGCTCAGGTCATGATCTCACAGTTCACGGCTCCTCAGTGATCTCATGGTTCAAGCCCCCATATCGGGCTCACTCTTCCACCAAAGAGCCCACTTCGGATTCTCTGTCCCCCTCTCTCTCTGCCCCTCTCCCACTCACGCTCTCTCTCTCTCTGTCTCTCAAAAATAAACATTAAAAAAAAAAAAGTGGGTTTCTTATAGGAAGCACATAGCTGTTTAATTTTTTATGTTTTTATTTTACTTTTAAGAGAGACACAGTAAGAGCAGGGGAGGGGCAGAGAGAGACAGAGACAGAATCTGAAGCAGGCTCCAGGCTCTGAGCTGTCAGCACAGAGCCCCATGCAGGATTCAAACTCATAGACTGCAAGATCATGACCTGAGCCGAAGTCAGACACCCAACCGACTGAGCCACCCAGGCGCCCCTGGTTTTTGCTTTTTAAAAACCCTATTGGCTAATCTCTGTTCTTCCTTTGGGGTGATTATCGACATGGCTGGATTAAGTCACTATCTTGCTATGTGTTTCTACTTTCCTACCTGTTCTTTGTCCAGAACGGAATTCTTCCTTCCCCAAAGCCCCTTATCTCAGCAAACACCGCTCCCTCACCCCTCTGCCCAGAGTGTCCCTTGGTGCCTCTCATATTCCCGCATGTCTCCATCCGGCCCGACAGCCAACTCTGCCATTCTCCCCAAATCATCTCCCAAATCTGACCTCTTCCTTCCTGCTGCACTGTGGCGCTATGGGCTCTCGGTCAAACCCCTCTGGCCCTCCCCTGGGCAGCTGAAGAGCTGCCTGCAGGCCCTTGGGGAACATCTTTATAAACATAGGTCAGAGTGGCCGGTTCTCTGTGGCTTCACATCCCGCTTAGAGGGAGAACCGTCCTTGGCTTGCCCACTTAGGCTCTGAGTGATCTGGTCCTTGGCCTGCCCTTCAGACTCATCCCTCTGGCCGCCTTGGTGTGCTGACCTTCCGTTGTCCCTGATGACACCAGGCATGCCTCGGCCTGAGGGTCTTTCCCTTGTCCTAGAATGCTCTTCCTCCAGAGTCTTAAAGGGCTCACTCCTTCTCTTCATCAGCCTTCTGCTCAAGCATGACCCTTCAGAAGGGCCTTCTTTGACCACCTTCCCCACCACTCGCCCCTTTATTTTCTTCAGGGCATGCTTCTCTGCACAGTACTATTTGTGCTCCTCACTCATGGTCTGTGCCCCTAATTAGAATGTGATTCCATGAGGTCAAGGGTTTTCTCTTGGTAATGGCAAATCTTAGTGTGTCTGTGCTTAGAACTGTGTCTTGCTTGCTATGGGTGTGGAATAAACATCTGGGGCATAAGTAAGTAAACAGAGTACTTCTATTCACTCCAGATGAATTACCAGGTGATTCTAAAAGGGCAGAAATTTAAAAAAAAAAAATATCACTCAGCAACTAAGTTATACGCACATCAAAGCCTAATTGTAAAGAAACTGTCACAGCTGATTTCTGTGATATTACAAATGTACACTAAGTGCCCACGTGTCACACCCACACGTCAATCCCCAGTCTAATTCAGGCCTTTGCAGTTTGTCTCATGATCGAAATGGAGCCGTGATGCATCCCTTCGTTTCCTCAAGACTTTGAGAAGAGGGGGCACAAATGCAAAGTTCTAGATGCATCCTCACGAAGAGTCACTTGATGGGCTATCTGGGGATTTGGGAGGCCACCTGTTGTGGGTTGAAGTGTGCTTCCCAAAAGACGTGTTGAAGTCCTAATGTCTGGTGCTTGTGAATGTGACCTTGCTTGGATATTGGGCCTTTGCAGATGTCATCAAGTTGAGATGAGGTCATTCTGGATGAGAGTGGGCCCTAAATCCAGTGACTGGTGTCCTTACAAGAAGAGGGAAACATGGACCCAGACACATGACCCACACAGGGAGAGCGCCATGTGAGGACGGAGGTGGAGATTGGAGTGATGGCTCTACAAGCAAGGGCGCAAAAGGTTGCCAACAGCCACCAGGAGCCGGGAGGGAGGCATGGGGCAGTAAAGGTGATTCTGCAAGTGGAAATCCTGCAAAGCAATCTTGACAATTGTAGGGTATTGTGAATCCACTAGAAACCACCGAATTTTGGTGAATTGACGTTATGTGAATTTTATCTCAATAAAAACTGCTTTTATTTTATTTCTTTAAAAGTTTATTTATTTATTTGGGGGGGGGGTGCAGAGAGAGAGAGAGGATCCCAAGCAGGCTGTGTGCTGTCAGCACAGAGCCTGACCAGGGCTCAATCTCATGAACCGTGAGATCATGACCTGAGTGGAAATCAAGAGTCGGACACTGAACCAACTGAGCCACCTAGGCATCCCAATAACATTTTCAAAAAAATTTTTTTAACGTTTATTCATTTTTGAGAGACAGAGAGTGTGAGCAGGCAAGGGGCAGAGAGACAGACAGACATATCCGAAGCAGGCTCCAGGCTCTAGGCTGTCAGCACAGAGCCCAACGTGGCGCTCGAACTCACAAACCGTGAGACCATGACCTGAGCCGAAGTTGGGCACTTAACCGACCGAGCCCCTTAGGCACCCCTCAATAACACTGTTTAAGTGGACATGGGGAGAGAAAAATCAGTGGGAAAAGTGTGACTTCCATGATCTCCCAAACATGAGAAACTTTCCCACTGGTTAGAACTATGCAGGCAAATAGAAACGGCAAAGCTAATCTTTGCTGGGGACACTCTAACTTTCAGAAGCATCAAGAATGAACGAGCTTCTTTCTTTGTTCGAAAGCAGCACAGATACTCAAATCAGAACGGCCTCGAGGAGATGAGCATCTCTGCGACGGTGACCACACACAAGTTCACGGAGCCGTCCCTGCTTGTACAGCACCTGATGCCACAGAACCATGCACTTGGAAGTGGTCAAGGTCGTAGATTTTAAACTATGTGTATTTGGGGCGCCTGGGTGGCTCTGACTTCGGCTCAGGTCATGACCTTGCGTTTGGGGCTTCGAGCCCCGCATCGGGCTCTGTGCTGACGGCTGGGAGCCTGAAGCCTGCTTCGGATTCTGTGTCTCCTTCTCTCTCTGCCCCTCCCTGCTTGCACTCTCATTCTGCCTCTCAAAAAAATAAAATAAAACATTAAAAAAATAGAAAGCAAATAAATAAACTATGTGTATTTAACCACGACTTAGAGGAGATACTTACCAGGAACAGTATGAACAGTGTTCGCCTCTTCCGCTGTGACTTAGGACGTGCTGCGAGCATCCTTTCTGGACCTCTGTCGGTTGTCGCTGTCTGTTCCGCGTCGCAATGAGCTTCCAGCGCGGCCTTCGCACTCGCACTCGGGGCGACGCGAAACGTGTCGAGGGCTCTGTCGGCGTGGGGGCGTGGCCAGCGTCACTTCCGGGGGACATCGTCCTTCTCATCAAGTCGGCCTCACCAGGCCCCTCTGGCCGCAGCTCTTTCTTCTGGCCCCGTCGCTGCTGCACCTGGATTTGCCTCCAGTGTCCCCACCTCCCGTCCTTGCCACTTTCTCACCTCTGTCGGTCGACTCCCGGCTTCGGTGACGCGCTTCCGCAGAGTAGCCAGTGTGTCCATCAGGGAAGGTGGCACGGCTCCCGACCTGGCTGGTGTGCGGGCGCTGAGTAACACGCGGTGACCGGTCACCCACGGGCTTGGGAAGAAGCGCCAGATGGTCACTGATCAGGAGGCGCGGCTGTTGTTTACGTAGTGATTTGCAGGCTGGCGGGCGAGCTCAGGCAGTCTCTACCCGGTGCGGCGACTCAGTTAATACACAGGGTCACTGACACTTGAACTCTGTTGTTGAGGGACTGATGGTGTTTTCCTAGACCATGGTAACTAAAGTTTCTGCATGTTGGAACCATGCGGAGCAGGGGCTGCCTACAATGACATTTCCAACCCCCCTTCCCACCTTGCCGTTCCTTGTCTCCATTCAAGGAGGAGCTGGCCCCGGACCTATAGTCCCAGGATGGAAGCAGAAGGTGCCTGTGGGTCTTTTGGACTTTGTTTCCCCTCACCCCCCAGAGCCCAAGCCCTTCAGACAACAAAGGGGGGTGGAGGAGGAAGGCAGAACTGATGTGTCCCTTCTGGGCCAGTGTCCTGGAGAAGCCGGGTTGATGAAGCATCTTGGACCACAGGGAGACCACCCTGGTCTGGGGTGAGCAGAGGTAGGTGAGGGGGTCTCCAGTCGCCAGAGAGGCTGGCGACTGCCTCCAGTCGCCAGAGAGCAATGCAGGAGGGGTCCGGCACCCAGGTGACAGGATACCAGGCAGGCTGGCCCAAGAGGGTCACATGCCCGGTGAGGCTGGGGACAGCGCCGAGGCGTGGGACTGGGGGGCTGCAATAACCGGTATGGGAAGATAACCAGTGGCAGCAGGCTCCCCCCACAGGGCCCTAACCCTGCAGGAGTCCTGACGTAGGAAGGGGGCAAGATCTGAAACTGATGGCCGTGATAGTGCCCATGGAATCGTGGAATGGGCGCTTGGGGCAGAAATCAGGCTGTCACAGAAAATGGAGGCAGTGGCACTGTCCACACACCTGAGTCCGTGGCTGGAGAGTCATGCCTGTGATGACTGGGGCTGTGCCACCACCATGACGAGCTGGCCTGTTCTAATGGCCACACTCACAGCACTGACGGGATAGGTTATTACTACTGGTCTGAAGATGTGAAGATAGCAGGCTGAGGCAGAGGTAACTTGCTTAAGATCTCATAGGTACCAAGATGTGAAGCAGGGGTTCAAACTCGGATACTGCTTGTGCCTAGAGACTTTTTTTTTTTAATTATTTATTTTGAGAGAGAGCCAGCATGGGGCCCGACCTGGGGCCCGAACTGTGAGATCATGACCTGAGCTGAAATCAAGAGTCAGATGCTGAACCGACTGAGCCACCCAGGTGCTCCTGTGCCTAGAGATTTATAACCACCAGAAGTGCGTGGGCTGGGTCCTGTTCTGTCATTTCTCCTGTCCCCAGTGTAGCACCAAGCACGGGGGATCTGTTGACCAGTGCCTGCTCTGAGCTTCAATTTTCCATCTATAAATGGTGATCTTGGTGCAAACGGCGATCTCAGAGGGTGCTCAGGGATCTCTGAGCATCTGCCCAGAAACAGGACACAGTCAGCCTGCCTGCCAGAGGGAGCACAAATCAGGGGCGTCCTGACACCTAGCGGCTGCTCAGCATAATTGCAGGTCCCAGCCCCAGATGCTCCCAAAACTCGAGGGCTCCTGGTCCTGGTCCTCTCCATGTCCGGTTCAGCAGCTGCCTGCTGCCCTAGACAACTTTCCCTCCTTGCCAGGCAGGGCAGTGCTAAGCCAGAAACTGAAGAGGCTCAGGTGCCTATTTATTCAGTTTCATTTATTTCCGTAAGATCTTTCATTCTAGGATTGCGGGATGGGCAGAGGCTGAATCTCCTTCCTTCCTGCTGAGAGAAGCCTATTGCTGGTCGAACACAACCACACACATCCATCCAAAAACCTGCTCAGTTCAAGCATATAAGTGTTCACTTTGGGTTTTTTTAGTTTATTTTGAGAGAGTGTGCACATGAGCAGGGGAGGGGCAGAGAGAGAGACAGAGAATCTCAAGCAGGCTCTGTGCTGTCAGCACAGAGCCCGATGTGGGACTCGATCCCATCAGAGCAAGACCATGACCTGAGGTGAAATCAAGAGTCAGATGCTTAACTGACTGAGCCACGCAGGTGCCCCACTAGTGTTCACTTTTAAGAAAGAACCTCCGACTTTACTCCAAAGAATAAATGTAAACATTTTACAGAGACCACCCGAAATTTCCAGCAGAATGCGCTGGGTCTGGTGAGATGTAAAGCACAGGACACCTACTGTCCTGTTAGGTTAGGACTTTGCTTAACTTCGTGCAATGCTCACTTTCGCCATGGGTGGAGGGGAACACGTCAACATTTTTATGGACAAGACAAAACCCTTCTGCACCCTGAAAGTGACAGGACCTAAAATGGTTTATCAGAAAATGTTATTTTATCACAGTAGATGCTGGCATTTCCTGGCATTGCCAGTCAGGATTTAAGTTTGACATCAATTGCTGTTTCTCTATATTGAACACTCTAGTATGTATGTATGTATGTATGTATGTATGAATGAATGAAGGTTTTTTTTTTTTTTAATTTTTTTTTTCAACATTTATTTATTTTTTGGGACAGAGAGAGACAGCATGAACGGGGGAGGGGCAGAGAGAGAGGGAGACACAGAATCGGAAACAGGCTCCAGGCTCCGAGCCATCAGCCCAGAGCCCGACGCGGGGCTCGAACTCACGGACCGCGAGATCGTGACCTGGCTGAAGTCAGACGCTTAACCGACTGCACCACCCAGGCGCCCCGAATGAATGAAGGTTTTAAGTAATCTCTACACCCAGTGTGAGGCTCAAACTCACAACCCTGAGACCAAGAGTCACATGCTCTCCCAACTGAGCCAGCCAGAAGTCCCTAGTATTTATCTTCTTTTTTTGTTTCGTAATGTTTATTTATGTTAGAGAGAGAGACAGAGTATGAGTGGGAGAGGGGCGGGGGGTGGGGTGGGGAGACACAGAATCTGAAACAGGCTCCAGGCTCTGAGCTGTCAGCACAGAGCCTGATGCGGGGCTTGAACTCACGAACCGCGAGATCACAACCTGAGCCGAAGTCAGACGCTTAACCAACTGAGCCACCCAGGCACCCCCCTAGTATTTATCTCTAAATTGAGTATGTAGACGACCCTGCACTTCCATTCCTCACCTAGAGTGAAGACAAAAGCAAGACCCTATACTAAGAGGCACATCACCCATCAAGGCACAGGGAGCTGTCTGTGCATAGCAACTTGGAGGCTGTCAATGTTTGTTTTTCAAGTAGGTGCCACGTCCAGTGTGGGGCTTGAACTCACCACCCTGAGACCAAGAGTTGCATGCTCTACGCTCTACAGACTGAGGCAGCCAGGCACCCCTGTCAATGGGTCTCATCGAAATGGGTGGCGGGGGTCAACTAAGTTCAGGAATCTCTGGACTAGACAAAGCTTAACCTGTTTCTTCATGACAGGACTTTTCAGAGCCTCTAGGAAGTCCTTTGAATCTTTGGGGACAGGCGCAGGTGCAACATTTCCCAAGCTACTTGGCTTTGGGCCTCTTTTGGTGGAACATCAATACCCAGCCCCCAAGGGGCTAGAGATCTATGGGGATACTTGGAGAGCACTATCTAGAACCCGGAGCCACGTGTTTGATAAACATGGCCGTTATTGCAGGGTTTTTAAAAATGTTTGTTTATTTTTGAGAGAGCCAGCGCAATGGGGGAGGAGCAGAGAGAGGGAGTCACAGAATCAAAGCAGGCTCCAGGCTCTGAGCCAAACCTTGAGATCACAACCTGAGCTGACCTCGGAAGCTCAGTTGACTGAGCCACCCAGGCACCCCATTGTTCGTTTTGCTTTTAAGGAAGGCGACCAGTCCCTTTTGCCAGTCCTTATTTTGACCAGAGGGAGTATTCTGCAGCCACACATCAGCCTCACTCTGCCCCCCTCCCCCATACCCCCGGCTTGTCGAAGGACACATCTGTTATGAGGATGGCTTTGCAGTTTGGGCTGCCTTGCTGGCCCTGCAGTGGGTGGCGAGAAAGGCCCGGCTCACGTAGAATCCTGGCACTGCTGCCACCAGCTGTGTGACCACGGGTGAGTCCCTTAATCTCTCTGTGCTGAGGTGTCCTTCTTTAAATGAGGCCCGTGAGCAGAACCACCTCTGGGGCTGTGTGAGGTCAAGTGGCAAGGCTGCCAGCACAGGGAGTGATCAATCACAGGCTGTCCTACTGACACCATTAGCGGTAACAGTAAAGGTGACGGTGCCGGAGCCCCATCTGCACCGATGGCAGGTCCCAGGTCTGTGGAGGAAGCCGACTTGGGGAACAGAAGGCCTTCGAGGGACAGTTTCATTTTGTGGTGAAATACACAGGTTTCCTTTACTGAAAAGCAAGGATCAGAAGTCTTGTTTAAATTGCATCTTTGTTTCTTCAGCTTTAAAACAAATCGTGGGGGTGCCTGGGTGGCTCGGTGGCTTAAGCATCCGCCTCTTGATAGCGGCTCAGGTCGTGATCCTGAGGTCGTGGGATCAAGCCCCGCACTGGGCTCTTCACGGACAGCCCAGAGCCTGCTTGGGATTCTCACTCTTCCTCTTTCTCTGCGCCTCCCCTGTGCATGCACACACGCTCTCTCAAATAAACGTTAAAAAGAAATAAAACCAATTGTGGTGAAAATACATAAAACTTACCATTTGAACCATTTTTAAGTGTGCAATCAGGGGCACTAAGGAAATCTGTAAATTTGTGCAGCCCTCACTCACCACCATCCATGTCCAGAATGTCTCCATCATCCCAAACAGAAATCTGCAACCCATTAAACCATAACTCCCCATCACCCCCAGCCTGAGGGGCGGTTCTGAGAGGGGACAGTCTGGGGTGTGGGGCTTCTCCTCAGTGCCCTTCCTTTTGCAAAGGACCCAAGAGCCCCACTCAGCTGACACCTGTCAGGCAGAACACCAAAACCCAAATGCAGCCCCAGCCCTAGCGTTTACTCAGACTTAAAGCCAAGGAAAAGGTCGGCAGTTTTGTGCTGCTTTAGCCTCCTCTCAATACTGCACCTTCAGAAGAAAGTGAGGTGCACAACTTCATGTGATGCGGTGCCCTTGATGGAATCCTGGCACCAAAAAAGGACACCAAGAAAAACTAAGAAAATCCGAATTATGGGCTTTAGTAAATAATAACGTATCGGGGCACCTGGCTGGCTAGGTCGGTACAGCATCCGACTCTTGATCTCAGGGTCACGAGCTTGAGCCCCATGTTGGGTGTGGAGCCTTACTTTAAAAAGTAAATAAATAAAATAAAAATGCTCCCACTGTGTTTCCCAGATACTCTTGTTAAAGCACCTGACTTGAAAATAAAAGAGACAGTCAGGCAAGGGATACTGTGATGACCGAATCCGCCAGTGAGCCCCTCCTCTTGGGGACCAGACATCCTGATGCTGCTGGTGGGTGGCTGTGGGAGTCGGGGAAAGGCCGCGAGAAGTGGCCACACAGTCTGCACAGCTGCAGGCCCTCCCTGTGCTGTGAACACTGTACCTCTGGGCCCATGGTTCCAGCGCCTTAATTATGCTCCCAGACCACAAGCTTTGTTTTCTTTTTTAAGGTTCGTTGACTTATTCTGAGCGACAGAGGCAGCATGAGCAGGGGAAGGGGCAGAAAGAAAGAGAGGGAGAGAGGGAGAATTCCAAACACGCTCTGCACTGTCAGCGCAGAGCCTGATGCGGGACTTGAACTCATGAAACCATGAGATCATGACCTGAGCCGAAACTGAGAGTCGGGATGCTTCAGTGACTGAGCCACCCAGGTGCTCCATCCCAGACCACAAGCTTTTTGAGACCTGGGAACGCCCAATTTTCTAGACACTGGGGCTAATGATGGAAATACAGTCCCACTTCAAGGCTAGGGACACAAGTGACAGGTGGGGGTCCCGAGGACGAAAGCCGACCCCCTTCTGGAGGTGCTGCATAGGCCTCCCACATCACTGTTGACCCTCTGAGAGCCCAGCTCTGGGTGCTAGGACACACCGCGTGGCGCTTTCGCTCCCACCGGCTACCTTAGCATGTGCACACCCTGTGTGGCGGCCTCGGAGCTCAGATACCTGGACAATGAACGATGCACAGGGAGACAGACTGGTCAGGGCCAGGTTTTCCCCATGAAGATTCCACAGCCTAGAGTGGGGGTCAGGGACAGGAGAATCAAGTGGAAGAACAGGGCTGCTGCCCGTCCTGGGCAAAGATGACAGAGATGCCAATGTGGTTTTGGGGACGGAAGGCAGAATGCCTTCCTGCCTCCGGAGGGAAGCTAGCAAGAACAGCAAAGAAGCTCATGTGGGGGCTGAGCCTGTCTTAAAACCCTTCCACGGCCTTATCTCAGTTGAAATTCCAAGCCCTTTTTGTGGCCACCTGTTACCTCTCTGATGCCTGCCTACTCCTCAAAGCCACACTCCGCTGCAGGTTCCCTCCCACCGCGGGTCCCTTGCACGCCCTGCGCCGTCTGCCTGGATGCTCTTCCCTCACTTCCTTCCAGTCACCTGCTCAGTAAGGCCTACCCTGCCCCTTGTGTAAAGTTGTCCCCACCTCTTAGACCCTTTCTCAGTTTTGGTTTTTCCCAGTAGCCTGCATCACTTCGAACACGGTGTGAACGTTTACTCTGTTTATGGTCTCTCTCCTGCACTGGAAGGGGAGTTCGAGGAGGGCGAGGATGTCTACCTCTTCTGTTTAATGCTAGATCCTCAGCGCCTGGAGCCAGCGGGTGTTTGACGGATTCTTGTTGAACCGAATGGATCAAGCCGCGCGGGCGGGTGGTTCTCCTGGGGTCCTGGCACATTTCTCCCGCCCTCCTTCCAGTTCCGGCTTCCAGGCCCCTCCCCTCCCACTGCTTCTCTTCTTCCCGGCTCTGCCTGAGGCTCTTCTGTCCCTCGTGTAACAGGCTCCAGAGGCCAGCCAGTTCTGCCCCAGTCAGGAGGGGAGACTGGGAAGCACCCGGCCCCGCCCTCCAGGGTCACCAGTATCTTGAGCGAACAGCAGTGACAAAAGGGAGCGTCCTCAAGGTTTGGGTGACTCCCAAGGGCATGGACAGAGGGTGGTCCCGTTGGCCCACTTCTCAGGGTGCAAAAGCCACCTGGTTGAGGGTCTGCAGGTTGGTCGCGCTGATGTCTAGGTTCAGCCTTGGCTCCTCCACTTCCAGGCCGTGAGGCCTCAGCAGTCTGTCCCCGACTACAGGCCTCAAGTACACTACGGACACTGCTGTTGTAAAGTTTCAGCAACGTTAAAAAAGGAACAAAAGGCCCCAAATGGGAGTCACTTGTGCTAAACCTTTGTCAGCGATCCAAGGCTTCATACCTAAGCTAACTGCGGTTTCAGCCCCTCCCGGGAACGGGACCTAATTTAACTAGTCATCTAGAACTACCTGGTTAGCACTAGTGAGGTTATCTGGCTGACAGACGCCTGTCTCTCGCTAGAGGAAGGTGACCTCGCTTGAAAAGCCGCCACCCTTTGCTAGAAACCTTCCTTTTTCTGGCCCACTTAGGTCTACGAGAGCCTCCCGTTTTCTACAGCGCCTCAGAGCTCCTGGCCACTGGCGGGATGGGACGCTGTCCCGCTCGGGAATTGCCGAATAAGGCCAATCAGATCTGCAAACTCACCCAGCCGTATCTTGCTCAACCGTCTGCAACGAAAGCCAAGGGGCCCGTCACACAACCCTTGGCGGAAGTCAGCCGAGGGCAGGGGCTCTGCTCTGCTCAACAACCTCACCCACGGTCAGCTTTTCGGGACTCCCGGTTGGTCCTTCAGGCCATCGCCCTGCTTCACACGGCCGTGCACGTCCCCGCTGCCTCCCATAGGCCTCCGGCAACGCTGTTCCCTGGACAACCCTGGGACCATCTCACAGGCGAGGGCACCGAGGCCGCCCAGCTCACTCCGAAGACCCAGCAGGCAGATGGCCGGCCCGTCTGCACAGGACGAGGGCGGAGGCCGGCACCGGGGGGAAGCCTCAGAGCTCGGCCGTCCCCAATTCCGGCCCCCGGTCTAGGTCCCCAGCTCTCTCCCGCCACGGATAAACCAAGAAGGCCGCCGCGGCGGTCACGTGCCCCCGCCAGCCCGCTCTGTCACGTGAGCCTCAGGACCAATCCCTGAGGCCAGAACGGGGAGGCCTTGGGATTGGCCCATCCCGGCCAGGGGGCGGGACTTTGCTCGAGGACGGAAGCCTTGGCCGCCCCTCCCCGCCCAATCTCTGTGATCCGCGTGAATCTCGCCCTCCCGCGAGACCTGGCGTCGGGCTGCGGCCCCTGACACCCACAGTGCCCCGGGCCAGAGTGGAGCTGTAGCATTTCACGGTGGCCTCGCGTGGCGCTTGCGTCATTTTCCCGAGCCGGCCGTGAGATTAGGGCGCTCCTCGCCCTGAAACCTTTGCTCGCCTCCGCACCTCTGTCCCGTTTCGGGAGCCTGGGACAGATTTCTTAACGTGGCCCCAGGGGCCAACCACCGTTGTCACTTCCCTGCCTCTGACATCTTGTCCCTCCGGCTTCCGTTCCTTCCTCAGGGTCGTCATGGCCTGACTTGTGCTCCCGGCACTCGTTTGATTTTTGTCGTTCAGCCAGACTAGGGATACGGCAGCCGTGGTCCTTGGCCGGGCTCCTGGGGGCCGTGACCCCTTCGAATTATATGCACATTAGGCGGTGTCGGTGCTCCTGTTGTTGGGGGTGGCGGTGAGGACGTCCATCAGACTCAGATGTGGAGAAACCCCAGAGTGGCGGCTCCGCACAGGACCATCAGGGCCCAGGAGCGCCCGCCTGTGTGCTCTGTGGGCACAGGGCCTGCCATGGCGTTCAGGGGTGCTTATTACATGGAAGAGAATCTCCTAACCTCATTTCCCCCAAGTACCCTCTGCTCGCACCTCAGTCTAGTCCCACAGGCCTGCTTCCTATACCTGCACGCAACTTTTTAAAAAAATATAATTTATTGTCAAGTTGGCTAACATACGGTGTATACAGCGTGCTCTTGACTTTAGGAGTAGATTCTCATCGTTCATCACTTGCAACACCCAGTGCTCATCCCAATAAGTGCCCTCCTCAATGTCCATCACCCATTTTCCCCTCGCTCCTGACCCTGACCCCCCCCCCCCCATCAACCCTGTTTGTTCTCTGTATTTAAGAGTCTCTTATGGTTTGCCTCCCTCCCTCTCTCTGTTTCCCTCCTCCACCCCATGGTCTTCTGTTAAGTTTCTCAAGATCCACATATGAGTGAAAACATATAACATCTGTCTTCTCTGCCTGACTTATTTCACTCAGCATAACACCCTCCAGTGCCATCCGTGTTGCTGCAAATGGGCAGATTTCATTCTTTCTCATTGCCAAGTAGTACTCCATGGTGTATATAAATCACATCTTCTTTATCCATTCATCAGTGGATGGACATTTAGGCTCTTTCCATAATTTTGCTATTGCTGAAAGTGCTGCTGTAAACATTGGGGTGCATGACCTGCACACAACTTTTGACGACACTTCTCCCTGCTGGGATCATCTCCTTTCCTCTGCTGGGACATTTTTTTTTTTTTTTTCACCTTGCCATTAAACTTTGGGCCATGAACTGGCTTGGGGAGGCGTGCAGCACAGCGCCAGAGACTGGAGGCACAGTGGTGAACAGGACAGGTCCAGGCTCGTGGTCTACTCGGGCAGACGGTGAAGTTGGAGACGAGGGAGACTCTGTGAGTGCCTCAGGATTGGGCCCCAGGGAGATCTGAGATTGAAGGGTAAATAGCTAATGATCAAGTCAGGGTGAGAGCAGGGAGTAGCAAGTTGGAAGGCTCATCGTGGGTAAGATTTAGCTTGTCATAGGAGGAGAGTAGAGAAGGTAGCAAGGCCAGCGTTTTGATCCTTGGAGGGTTGTTAGGTAGAGTGTAGACTGATCAAGTGAGTGATTTTGGAAGCCGCCTCTGGCTGCAAGCGAGAGCCAGATGGCTGTTCCTGGGAGGTGGGCAGGCAGGAAAGGAAACAGCTGAGCAAAGGCTGGAGTTGAAATCTGAACACGTGGGGGAGACTTTCTGGGTTTCAGTTTGTCCATCTGTAAAGTGTGGGGGTTGTATTCCCATCTTTAAGGTCCTCCCACCTCTGTCTCACATTCAGCAACCCTTCAGGTGGATGAGAATTTGTAAATGGTTATAGTGAGGACAGAGAAAGATGAAGAGAAGGAAGGGAGGCAGGAGAGAGAGAGAGAGAGAGAGAGAGAGAGAGAGAGAGAGAGAGAGAGAGAAACACAAGGGGACACGGAGGACAGAGGAGCAGCGTTTCAAGGGGATAGCAGGACCCAGAGGCCTGCCCAGGCCAGAGAGCCGTCCCTAGATTCAGGCCCTCGATGGTACTGCTGTGTGACCTTGGCCGGCTCACCCAGTTCCCTAGGTCTCAGGTTCTGCCTCTCTGATGGAGATACCAGGCATAGATTGATGCTAGGTGACACTGCACTGGTCATGGCTGGGCACATACCAGACTTGAAGGCTGAGGGAGCATTAACTAGGGCATGTTCTGGACACCTGCTCACCTGCACACCTGAGTTCTGGGGGTCCGCCACCAATGCCCAGGGGTTTTAGTTGCTTCATCCATAAATCTGGGGACAAGTGAGGGTGTCATAGAGGGCAAAGCAAGATCTTAGGACCCCACTGGCCTGCATTTGGATTCTGACTCTACCTTTGACTAGCTAGTGAGTTTGCGTAAATCCCATAATCTCTCAGAACCTCAGTGTTCTCATCTGAAAAATGGGGACTCGCAACACCGACCTGTGAGAGTTGGATCAGACGCTGTGTGCCAAGGGACAGTCCAGCTTGTTGCAGGCGCTCAGTACGTGTCGTTTCTGTTGCTTCCCCTCTTCCAGCTTTGAGGAGCCCGTGGCTGTCAGGCTGGAGAAATGTAACCGACTACATAATGTTTGTTCCTCTCATCCCGCAGGGTTTAATTTCATTAAAAGTCCTTTAGAATGCGTGATGCTGGGAGGGCAAGTCGAGGAGCACAGAGTGTTCAGTTTACAGGGCAGTCAGACAAGGGGTAATGTAAAAAGAGCTGAGCAGATGGAGGCTCCAAGCAGACATTCCGGATGGTGGTGAGGTGGCCTGGCTCCCGTGCTCTGGTGGTGAGAAGGGAGCTTTTAAGTCAGCTCACAGCCTGCAGGCAAGCTGGACCTGACTGATTTCAGATGCTGCACTCAGGCGTTAGACACAATTTTTTTTTAAATTTTTTTTTCAACGTTTATTTATTTTTGGGACAGAGAGAGACAGAGCATGAACGGGGGAGGGGCAGAGAGAGAGGGAGACACAGGATCGGAAACAGGCTCCAGGTTCTGAGCCATCAGCCCAGAGCCTGACGCGGGGCTCGAACTCACGGACCGCGAGATCGTGACCTGGCTGAAGTCGGACGCTTAACCGACTGCGCCACCCAGGCGCCCCTAGACACAATTTTTAAAAAAGGGAATGTATGGCGCGCCTGGGTGGCTCAGTCGGTTAAGCCTCTGACTTCGGCTCAGGTCATGACCTTGCTGTTTGTGAGGTCGAGCCCCGCATCGGGCTCTGCTGACAGCTCGGAGCCTGGAGCCTGCTTCTGATTCTGTGTCTCCCTCTCTCTCTGCCCCTCCCCTGCTCGCGCTCTGTCTCTCTCTCTCTCTCTCTCTCTCTCAAAAATAAATAAACATTAAAAAAATACAAAAGGAAATGTAAAGGATTTGTAAAATCAATGCAAATATTCCAGAATTCTCCAGACATGCCTAAGTCCTTGGGATACTTATCTAGTTTTCTCACATACTAACATTATATATAGTACATGATATGCAGTATATATTAGATTTTAGGATACTATATATATGTATATGTGTGGATGCACATAATAGGATTCCACTGCGCATACTGTTTTGGAACTCCCTTGTTTCACCCAAATATATATCTTGGATAGTTGTTACGTGACAACATTTCTTGCTCAAATTATTCTAGATTTGAATCGTGAGGGTTCCTACAAATTGGCGCCTGTGTACTTTTAACATTCTTTTTTAACACCCATTCTTTGAGCACATCCTAGTTTCTGGTAGGGTGTTTGCAGGATAGTTGTATCGTGTGGTGGAATTATGACCTTGTTTCTGTTCCTCGTTTGGAGATTAAGTATGGATTACGGAGAAGCATGTGGGTGCCAAGTTGACACGGGGTGGACTTGTGACGGTTAATTTTCTATGTCAACTTGTCTGGGCCATGGTGCCCAGATATATGGTCGAGACTTATTCGGGATGTTTCAGTAAGGGTGTTTTGGGATGAGAGTAACATTTAAATTGGTAGACTTTGAGTAAAAGCAGATTGCCCTCCCGAATATGGGTGGGCCTTATCCAATCAGTCGAAGGCCAGAATAGGTCAAAAGTCTGACCTCCCCCAAACAAGAGGGAATTGTGTCAGCAGATGGCCTTCAGACTTGGGACTGCAACACCGGCTCTTCTCTGGATCTGTAGCATGCCAGCCTACCCTGTAGATTTTGGCTTTGCCAGCCTCTGTAATCACATGAGCCAATTCCTGATTTAGAGTTTCTATCTTGTCTGGAGTCAGTTTGGGTTATATTTTCCTAGAAAATTATCCACTTCAAATTTATTTTCCTATTGTTATGCAAATTAGTCCCATGGTTTTAAAAAAGGTCTTCTGAATTGATGGTTACTTTTCTTCTGTCATTATTTCTTTTGGATGTTTAGGGGTTCACCCATGCCATTAAAAAACCCCAAATTGAGTGCTACATCTCTTAGAATTTGTCTAGCAGGTTTTTCGGTCCTTACTGGAAGACCCCTGCTCCCTGCCCATCCCCCCAGAATAAAAAAAAATAACAATAAAATAAAAAAAACAAATTGGCTAGTGACTTATTCACCTTTTGATTTTTTAAAAAGGTAATTTATCGGGGGCACCTGGGCGACACAGTTGGCTAAGAACTCGACTCTTGATCTTGGCTCAGGGCATGATCTCACAGTTCGTGGGTTCAAGCCCCACCTCAGCTCTGTGCTTGGTGATTGGGATTCTTGCCTGCTTGGGATTCTGTC